CTTTCGGCATTTGAGACATCAATTCTGAGTGACGTTGTTTTCATTGAAGAATTCGTATTGGAATCCATTTGTATTTAGCTTTTTAATTGCTAGCGCAGAGTGGGGGAGGGAAGGGGAAAGGGAAGAGATAGGGAATCGGCATTTGGCGAACTGGACAGCTCAAAGGGTAGGGCTTTTGGGAAGGGCGGGGGCTGGACGTGACGCGATTCGACGCGACGAGAAGATGGACCCACATCAATGGGCTGTCAACGCGTCGAGATCGTTATGGCCATCACAGAATACTCGGTTGTTGGCCATTTTAATTGCATGGCCATTGGCCAAAGTCATGCATTTTTCAAGTCATCAGCATTTCAATACACATCAACACACACACCCATGCATGTGTGTTGTCATATGTTTTTTCTGCGAATAGAGCGCGTGCCTAGAAGTCTAACGCTCGCTCGTTAGTTTTACAAGCTCCATTTTTGGCATGATAGCAAGCGCAGTTTTCAAAAAAAAAGCTGCAAATTTCTAAAAAAAAAAAAAAAATAGAGGTTGAAAATACCCTAGGAAATGCGTGCTTGACGACGGGCAACGACAAATTGTTAGTGAAATGAGTGAAGGAAAATGCAAAAAATGAATGGAAATCGCATAGTTCAAAATCAGCTGGCTATAAAAATACATAAAGTATCGGGGAAAATCTGTTTACTCGCAGCTCTATAAGAGTAAAACAATTTGAAAGTGAATTCTATAAGTTTCGAATCGAATGCCAAATTCTTAACAATTTACTGCCAACTGAAAGCGAATGCGAATGGGCCGAGTTGGGATCTTAAAAGGCGCAAATGCACCCAAGAATGAAAGAGAATCCCATGTGCTCTACACAAACTTGGAGTAAAGCTCATTTCTCAATTCTCAGTTATTTTAAGTAAAAATGAGAGTTTCAGCTGCCCAGCAACTGTATAATATAAAATTATTTCATATATGTATGTATGTACATACATATGTCACCAGAATTAATTGATTCTAATGGCAAATATATATATGTATGTATGTAATATCATATGTCTATGTAATGTTATTTGTAAGAATTTAATAAGTCAAATAAGTAAATTTATAGTCGTCAGAAATTGACAGAGATACAGTTCTATCTCATTAATCGAATTGGCCGAATTTAAGTAGACCATTACGAGTTAGAGGGAATATCACTATAGCTAACTATCGATACTTAGCTAAAGCCATCGATACTTACATTATTATGTCATCGATACAGAATGCGAATGGCATGAATAGAAGAAGAAGACTAATTCGCGAAGACAAAGCATAAGATTGGTTCAGTTAATTAAATAAAGCCTTAAAATACTAGCTAAAGGTTGGATGCATTGAGAGTCTATTCATCTATGATAAGCTATATCGCCCAACGAGAGGAATCACTGGACCTGCGTACGTATGGAACTAATTTTCTCACAAAGCAGTCAGCTGCAGTCAATTTGCCTTTGTTAGCATTAGACTGCACCGCAAATCCCCAGAGTACACATAAGAAACCCGGAACAGGGCGTTGCCTTGTGGCTGTGGCTGTTTAAATAGAGTCTCACAGCAGGTGCATTGTGTTGTGGTCACCTGGCTAAGGTATCTGCTTTTAAAAGTCTGCCTGCTATCGAGTTACTCGATGGCAGTAGCACTCGGAAATGGGTTTTCCCACTGACACAGCCAGGCAGACGCCTCTCTCTCTCTCTCTCCCTCGCTCTTTGAGCAATAAGCCACTTTGGATCATGAGCAACGACAATGATATATGTATAGTATAGTATAGAAATTATATTTTGATGTGTCAAATCTGAATAAATTGAATGAGCAATGCATCAGCTAATGCTCGATTCATATTATCATTGTCAGCCGAATTACAAAATACAGTTAGCTCTTTGATGTACTTTGTATACAAGTGTATATACACATAAATATATGTACATGTATATGTATGTATGTATGTATGTCTCGATTGGGTCAAAGTGAATTTTTAAGCTGTAGTCATCTTATAGCTGGGGTTTCCCGCTTTCACTTTTATTGCTGCATCGTCTTTTGTGTTTTGTTTTGTATTTCAACCCAAAGCTTTATAGGGTTTGTTGATGTTTCTTTTTTATTGCTCTCTATGCTCGTTTATAAAGCATGGAGAGTATATTGGTTTCTTATTCAACATGCATTGCTTGGGTTTGGACTGAGAATGAACTAACGGTTTAATTTCCAATAAATTATGTTCGGGTTGCAGGTGAGCTACTCTGTAGAAATTATTAAGGAACCAGCATTGAGAAAATGGCTAATTGAAATACGAACAATATTATTCAAAGTGCTGGAGCTGGGAACAGTCAGTTATGCGGTTGTTTAGCTCTAAGCCTGCTCTACAGGTAGATTTAAAAATCATGGATTAATAGCCCAATCTGCATTAAACCGACTGTCGTGTTTGTATTTGTTATACCCTGTCTTGGAATATTTGTATTTGTATTTGATGTAGGTGCTATAGATAAATAATTAATATAAATGTAAATACATATACATATACATACATATTTATATACTCTAAGATCTCACCCTAATCCCAGCTGCTTACTGAATTATTGCTCTAAGTCTTCTGCTATACAAGTACATATATAAAACTCCTATATACCCTATATAAATATACATTCATCATTAACTATAATATTTTTATGGATCTGCCCATTCAATTCATTTTCACTGTAACTACAGGGTATCTGCAGTTCATCCCTGCTTATCGGCTCCACATTTTCGCTTGTGTTTGTGTTATGATTACAGTGAAGCGCCGAGATTGAGAGACTGCCACTCATATGTTAATGTGCTACCCTCGCTCTCCGGCATATTCAGCATTTCGATTTTACGCTCTCCCTGCAGTCGGTGTTTCCTTTGTGCGTACGTACGTACGTACGTACGTATATTAAAAATTTAATTAAATCAGCATACATAAATAAAGAAATAATTTTGTTTGACGCTACGCATTGCGCGAATGCCCGAATTCAAATACAAAGTGAAAACATTATCAGCAGCAGAGGGAAGAGCTCCACAGAGGAGGAGCGAGGCGTGGCAGGCATAGGGGGCGAAACATTGACTCTAGAGTATTGCTGTCGCTCCTGCTTCAGCTCATGCTCCTGCTGCTGCTCCTCTTACTGCTGCTCCTGCTGCTGCTGCTCCTGCTGCTGCTCCTGCTTTCACTTTCACTTTTGCTTTTGCTTTTGATTAACATATTTCTTTTATCTGAGGAGCCGCAACTGTAGCGAGCTGCGAGCGGGTGCGAATAAGCATGATATTGAAGTTATGAGAATATTTGAAAACATTTTTCAACGGCTACATATTGACTTACCCAGTGTGTATGTGCATACATACATACATACATACATATATCCGACGACTGTAATCAATACAGAAGCAAATCTGTCTCGCAGTTTCCAGGAAAACACACACCAAAAGAAAACTTTTTTAATTAAAGCCAAAATTGATAAAGCAAAAAAAGAAAAACAACAACAACATTAAGAACTTAAATGAAAATAATTCCATGTATAATAGATTTAACTGACCAGAACATGAAATCTATGTTATATAGTCTTAGTATCTCTTTAAAATATCTTTTATGTGGGTTACTTTCTGTAGACGCTGTAACATATCCAAAGCATCCATTATTAAATTTCGGACTATTTAAATGTCTCAAAGTGTGCTGAGAAAGCAATAAGTGAAAGTGCTCTAGACGGAACTGGACGACTAGCAAATACCCTAAGGACTACTAGAAAATACCGATCATATTCAAAGGTGTCTACGGGGATCTCACATCCTGGACCCTCCAAAAAGATGGTAGTGTATGTAAATATTCGATCCGATTAATTGTAGTTAAGGTTAGTCGATTTGCCTAATATATATTAAATTAAATTTGGATTGAATCCATACATATAAACATATATACCCTATACAGAGTCTATATATAAAACATATTTACTCTAGACACATATACACTACCCCTGTGCATACATTTCTCATCAAGCTACCCGCTCTTTACAGGGTATGTTGCAGTCGTTCGTTATGTCGCCACACTCTCCGCTGTCTTTTGTGGCACTTTGTTTATTTTAAACGATTATTCCGCTTCATTACCGTTAAATCACTTAGACGGCAGCCTTTTGTATGTGTTTCCATCAGCTTTTTCCCTATTTTGTTCTATATTCTTGTTCCTTTTTATTGTTCCTCTTCTTTTTTAATTTAAAGGTATTATAGATTATACTTTGTCCCTGGTCCGACACAATTTAGTGGTTCACCAAATCAATTTGCCATTGATGCCCCAAGTGCTTTTGAAGACAAGCACACACACACATACACACAAATTGACAATCTATATCAATTGAGTAATGTAAACTTGGCCTGGACACAGGACTTTAAGAGATAAGACCACAAAGCTTTTATAAAGGATTCTATGCTGCATGTAGAGCGGCTGAGGTGATGAGTCTACGGCCAGGTCTTCAAACTGATGTAAGCAATACCTGTTTCAATGTAAATATTATATACTCATTCATATATACATAGGTAATCTGTTAATAATATAATATAATAATATAATATACAACAAAGAATCTTATTGCTTGCAAGCCAGTGCAGAGTTGTCGTGGAGCTATGTTGGAGCACAAGTTGGCAGCACGCTTCTTAGTAGACTCAGCTTGGCACTCCACGTGAGTGAGTGAGACAACCATAGCTGTTGTTGAACATGAATGAGATGACCTGTAGGCTTCTCTCTCAGACATATAAACTCGTTGGAAAGTGATCATCCTGAGCTATTTCCAATATAGGTTAATATTGGTGCAGGCCAGTTCAGGATTGGAGGGATCAGCACTATGGTCGACCATCGATAAATACCATATCGATGGCTGAGGAAGTCGATACTTGGCGTGCCATAATGAGTAATGGCAGAAGAAGAGAAAGATGGGCAGATTTGTAAGAGCAGCTTATTGAGGTGAGCCGGCTCACTCGCTCTTTTTTGTGAAGTGAGCCAACTCACTCATTCGGATCACTGGCTCACTTGCTGATAATGAACCAAAATGAGCGAGTCAGCAAAAACGAGCTAGAGAGCCATTCCTTTTGGCTCACTCACTCATGAGCTACCCAAGTCTAGAGCTGAGTTGAAGCTGAAGGAGTTGAGTTTAGAGTTGAAGAGCTAAGACTTCTGAAAGAAATTAAAGCGAAATAAAGTTACGATATAAAAGCCTCGTACAATATGTATAACCAACCCTGTATATACTCTTGTAGCTCAATCGATTGTTTACTCGAATCTGTATGAGCTGTAGATCTTAGGGTTTACAGCCACTCAAGACTTTTTTTTCTCTAATCAAATAAAGCTATATATTAATATTTGTGTTAATCTTTTATTTCTTTGTTGCAGCGTGAATAATATATATAAGGATATTTAGTAGACATCGGTATCATTAATCAGTATTCATTTGAAGACGAAGTTCTCAGAGCTCAAACGTCACTCTCTCTGAGCTCGCTCTGCCCATTGTTCGGCAAGAATCTAGTTTCAAGAGCTACTTAATCAGCGTCTCAGTTATATATAATTCGATAAATTTGAAATGCAATAGATTTCTATAAACAGTCTTTGTACAAGGCGAATAATACATAGAAATCTGTTGCAGATTGTAAGCCGCATAAAGATACATATTGTAACTATATACATACATACATACATACATACATGTATAACAAATGTGATAGAGTGTGAGTGCGTGCGTGGGTTGTTTCATCAAATAAAAATGTTGTTTACAACTCGAGTTTTATGAAATGTGAAATGCGAATGCATGGCAACTACCCTATGCGGCCAATAAATAATGGGGCAAGTGCAGTTTCAAATCGTCCACTAATGGAGGTGCTCAATCGCTGATGGGGCAGGCAAATCGCCGCCACTTTATGTTGCATAATGTATTGACTTTGCCTGGGCCCAATTGTGACTGCCCCCACCACCCCCACCACCCCACAAGGGGGCGACTGCTTGTTGTTGCTGTAGGAGCTCACTGGGTGTGGGGAGGCAATTGGCAAACATTCTAAAAGTTATTTGGCAGCTGCTCTTTGCGAAGCATCGCACACACATTTGAGTGCTGTTCCGCTGCTGTTATTGTTATTGTATATATTATTATTATTATTATGATTATTGTTATTGTTTTTGCATTTTAAAGCAAATGGACTTTTATGCGTTTTCCTGCATGTGTCTGTCTCACTTTGGCCATCTCTCTCTCTCTCCCTCTCTCTCGCTCTCTTAAATTAGCCCAGAATGATTTTGGCAGTCTTTTGCCATACAATTTGATGCTTCTTTAACTGCCTGTCCGTCGCCCATCAATTTTACTTACTGTACAGTCAAGCCTCGCAGCATTCGCGCACATAAAAACACAAATTTCCGCATAAATTACCAGCTCAACATTTTTTGATGGCCTTTCTTCGGCCTCTTCTTACGCATCTCTACGGGTTCTCCTTCGCTTCTCTCCACATCTGCTCCTTCCTCCTCCTGCCGATTTTTGCTCTTATTCTCGGTTTTCTTATGTGTAAGCATACGTAATTGATGCGTTTATATAAACATATATTTCTTTATTGAAAGCTGCTCTTCATAATGCCGAAGATTTAATACCCTCGGCCATTGCACTTCATAGGCGAGGTTGTAGGCCCTTTCCCGTCCCCTTCTTCTTTTGAAACCTAGCCAAAGATATTCCAGTTATGAGTAAACTGGAGGAAAATTCGATGCTTCTTTGACTCTATATTTATTTTTAGAGAGTTCCTTTAGGTATTCCAATTATTTTGTATAATTTTTAAGATATTGCAGAGCAATGGCTTACGAGGAAAATGTCGCAATGTCTGCGGATTACGTATATTCGATTCCCGATAATCTTATTCCATTCAAGTCATTTGAAAACCAAATAGTGGAAGTTCACAATCAGCTGTATATTTTGAGCAGACCTCTTAGCTTTAAGATTATATATAGTCAGCATTCAGCTCAGTTCACTTGGACGAGCTCCGGTAGTTCTTCAGTTAGCAATGAATATCTATTGCTCATGACTTTGAAAGTTGAGAATTACGTAGAAGGGCGCAACATATTTATGTTAGCAAAAAAGAAAAAAATTCGATAAAATGCACAAGTACCTCTGTGATAGCGCTTAAATGAATCAAAAGTTTAAGCAAACGGAGGAAGAAGTTTTGCCCCATAAACTCAAAGAATACAAAGATATATTCAAGTCATGTTATGAAGTCTGCCTGTCTATCTGTAGCAGACGAAAGGTAAAGCATCAACTTTATATCTACATAGCTCAAGTCTCACAACAATTCGTTTGCTTAAAGGGCAATTAAATTTGACAATTATTGTCGGACATTCATTTAGATGTATGAGTTTTTTACTTTTGCTCTGCTCTTTTATAATGTGAACAGGTGGTGGAGGGCCAGAGAAAGGAACAACAACAAATCAGAAGAGGCGGTAGAGGCGGTAGAGGCAGCCTAGCGATAAGGCCATAAAATATGTTGTACGCCAAGGGCTTAGAAAGTGTTTTACGTGCGTTTTATGACATGACATGACATGACCCAGCCAGCAGCTAGCCTTGCGCTGTCGAATGTGACCTAAATACATACAGACAGACAGACAGACAGACAGATAGAAATACCTATATACATACATCTATGTAAACATACACTGTAGCGAGAACTAGCAATACCTCTAAGCTCTCAGCCAAAGTCGAGCCAATGATGATTAGCGCTGACCTCTGGCCTTGATAGCGCCCGATCGCCCTGATAAGCAGCGCTGGAAATATGGAACTACGCATCGAGGCGTTGTTAACAATGCGAATTTAGCGCCGCTCACAGTCGCAATACGAATTTAGAGCTTCGCACACGCTGAAGCTCAGTCGAATTAAAAACAAAAATAATGAAACTATTACACATTGTGCTGCTTTGCCTGGGCCTGTGGCTCTGCCTGTGTCCGGTTCCTGGAGAGGCGCGACGACTGCAGCGCGAGGCTAGTGCGGCGCCCGAGCCGCTGCTGAATGCGGAGCTGGCGGCCGGTGAGTCGCTGAAGTCGGAGGAGTTTGTGTCGGATGCAACGACCACGCCGAAGCCGCTGGGCATCGTCTCCATCAAATCGCGGGCCATCGCCATGGACCGAGCCCTGTGCAAGGAGCAGTCGCGCTACCATCCCCACTTCCCCAAGTGCCATCAGTACTGCAAGCGGCTCGACCACTGGATTGGCCAGTGCTGGCGCGAGAGCTGTCACTGCATCTCCTGAATGCAACGCAGCTAAGCTACCAGTTCCAGCTCCAGCTCCAGCTCCCGCTCCATTCACATTTCCAGCCCACCTTGCGATGCAGACCCAGCAGCTGTTCCAGCACGCAACTGCTCCAGCTCCAGCTCCAGCACCAGCTTCAATTCCAGCTGCTGTTTCTGTATCTAGTTCATCTTCAATTCCAGTTTTAGTTCCAGTCATCATGCCCCCAGTTCTAGCTAAAGTGCACAATGGATTTAGTTTCAATTCATTTCCAGCTTTAGCAACTGCATCAGCTCCAGCTCAAGGGATCTAGTTGCAGTTCTAGTTCCAGCTCAGCATTACTCACTGACTCCAGCTCAAGTTGCTACCTAAGCTAGTTCCATCCACAGTTCTACTTCCAGCTCCAGTTCTTGGATTAGTTTCCTCAACTTTGCTACCTGCGGTTCTAGATCCAGTTCCGGCTCCAGTTACAGCTTCAGTTCCAGCTCCAGTTCCAGCTCCAGTTCCAGCTTCAGGTTCAACTCCGGTTCCAGCTCCAGTTCCAGCACCAGTTCCAGCTCCAGTTCCAGCTTCAGTTCCAGCTCCAGTTCCAGTTCCAGTTCCAGCTCCAGCTCCAGTCCCAGTACCAGTTCCAGCTTCAGTTACAGTTGTAGTTCCATCTGTACTTTCAACTCCAACTTCGGTACCAGTTCCAGCTCCAGCTTTGGCTCCAATTCCAGCACTATATCTGCAACTAGTTCCAGTGCCTGTTGCCAATCCAGCTTCAATCCCTATCTACAGCCAGTTCCTCTTCCGGTTCCACTTCCGTCTACAAATCCAGCTCTAGTGCAGACTGCAGCCTCTAGCTTAAGCTCTATTAACAACTTTCACTCAACTTCAGGCTCTGCTCCGGGTCCAGCAACTGCTCCAGTTCCGACTGCACCCTCAGCCGGCATTACTCCGGTGCTCCAGCTCTTCCGTCAACACTTCAACACAATTTCCAGCATGCTCACCTTTGCCAGCTGCACCCGCTCCTGCTCCAGCGGCCACGCCCAGCACCGCCTCCTCAGCCGGAGGTCCACTTGCAAACTTTGTACTTACATAATTCTAAGATTTGTTTCATTAGCTGCCCATTACTCACACTTATCTGTGCACTTGTGTCTCGCTTCTCTCTTGTGCACCGCCTGCTATTCACACTTATCTCTCTGTTTGCATTCGCACTAAGCCTTAGCTTTCCAAGATTTCGAGTTTCTGCTGATTAAAGATGCAACAAATGTTGTTGAGCCAATTTCCTGTGCCTAATTAATAAGTTCAAGTTTGTTTTCATTATTTCTATTTGATTTTTATTCAGCCATATCATATCATTGCCATGGCGCATTGAAGTCTCTCTGAATTTGCAGCCCAATTACAGTAATTAAAAATTTATATTCAAAGTGAGCGAAGCGTGATGAGCTTCCGTTCCGGGAAATGCGAGAGGATTTGCTAAACAGTAGTTTAAAGCGCTCTAATGCTGATTCATGAATGAGCTGGCTTGCGAACCAGTTCAATCGACACAGCTGTAATCGCATCACATTCGCATAATCAACTGGAACATCTCATTGAATATTTCAATATTCCGGCGAATATTTGGAGGTAGTATACCACCCTCCCGCCTCCCCTTATGCGAGGTGCTCAAATTTCTTATGTATTCTATGATAAATATGCATGCAGATGGAAAGCTTTAGCTGGAATTGTCTCAATTGGGCGTGGCAATATACTTTGATATGTGCATATGTAAGTGTGAACCAAAAATAAAAATCCGCACATTTTGCAAATTTTGCACGAATGTCCAAAACCCTTTCACATACATGCATAAAAGTGTAAGTGTGTGTGTGTGTGAAGTGTCGGCTGCTAGCTCTGTCCCTACCTCCCCCTTCCCCTCTCTCTCTCTCTCTCTCTCTCTCTCTCTCTCTCATATGCTAATTTAATAGTAAACAGTGGCAAAAATATGCGCCCAGCTCATAGCAGCAGGGGACACAAAACGACCCAAAGTAGGGGACATCTCTGAATGCGCACACATGTAACGAGTGACAGTTACTAATAGCACACACCAACACACACACGCACACTCGCACACACACTCATTCACATCCTTTAGTGGTATGCTGTTGTGCCATAGTAAGCACACAATATGCATATTCATGAACTAAGTGGCTGCATTTTCAGCGCGCGCGCGTTTTTTCAAAAAGATTCTTTGTGCAAATTGCGAGCATTAAAAACAAAAACAAAAACAACAACAAAATGGGGTTTTTGTTATAGTTGCTGTCTGCATTTTGTTGTTTTCGTTACATTTTTATTTTTATTTCTGCTGTTTTTTCACTTATTTTTTTGCATTTTTACACCAGTCTACAGTGCTGCCAAAAAGTGTATGCACACAGCGCGCCATTCGCGTGTCACACAGCTGACTTACACGATTGTTAAGTTCGTTTTTCATTCTCTTTTCTATAAACATGATATTTTAACTAGCACCCAACGGCATGCAATGGAGCATACCAAGAGCGGGCACTAGCGACCAGTGTTGTATAGCTGTTAATGAGAGATATTCTGTGGGATTATCTGGCTAAACTATTAGCAGAATTCAATTCAGACTGAAGCCAAGGAATTAAAGCAATTATCGAAGCGAATAATAGAAAAATAATTTTCAGTGATTCGGCTCAGCTTATATCATGGGTAGAGAGAGCTCTAGATCAGTATAATAACTGATTACATTCCGTCGTATTCTTGCTTGCGTCTCTCTTATCCTGGAACTGGAACAGAACTAGCAGCTCATTCAATTGAGCCATATCCATTTTTCCTGCTATTCGTTTGTCCGTCCGCCTATCCGTGCTTCCTCCCGTAATATTCATCTATCCATCTGATTGGACTGCATCAACTTCAAACGCCGATTCCATTTTTGCTAAATACATCATTCTATTCGAATAAAAACTCGCCCTTAACGTTCATCTGTTAAATCGTTCGTCCGTCCGTCCATTCACATATTTCATATCCATCCGTACATCCAGTAGAACAATTTTAACCGAGTCAAGTGAAAATCTTATTCAGCATTCAGCTTTACTCAGCTAGGCATAAATCAATATACGAGACATACGTATGTATGTGTGTGTGTACGCAAATAGTTGAAGTGGAAAGCGCGTTACGGTTATTTCAGATAACTGTCAGCCGCTATCACTAGGTAGTATCAATTAAAGAGGCGTTCCCCGAAATGATTAGCACCGCTTGACACTAACGAGGAGCGAACGTGGAATGCCGCATTATTAGCCCATTTGATTGATCTGATTGTCTTCCCATTCAAATTTAATGAGCTACGAGAAATGCCAAAAATATATGCTCAAACACTGGAATATTTCCAGGCGACTCAAAGTGTGGCATGGACGCGTTCAGCCAATGAGGGCGAAATGTGAAATATGAAATGGCAAATGTGAGCATTATGCTTGCATACCCTGTAGTCGATGTGGTGCTAAGCTGAAGCTGTTAAGCAGGGGAATTCTATGAAGCATAAGTCTGACATTGGAAAATACTTAAGATCTAAAAGATATTATATATGAGAGAAAGATAAAGAATATGTGTATAATCCAGATTCATATAGAGTATCTGCCAGTCGAGCATTGCTCACTCCCGCTCTCTCTATCTCTCCCTCTCTTTCTCTGTCTATCTCTGTTTGCCGCAGCACTTTGGGCCGTGTCTTTTTTGTCTTTCTTGTGGGTCCACTGGTTCAACTGATTTAGCTCAATAATGCGACGCGTCTCTCACTTTGATAAGGGTCCCGTTGTCAACAAATAATAACGGCAACAGCAACAGCAACGGCAACATCAACAGCGGCGGCAAAAACAATAAGTGGCAGGACAGCAAACACGAGTTCGTTATCTTTACCGCAATGTAAACACTGCCACACAATTTTGACGGGGTGGCAACGCTGCGCCGCAAATGCCAAACAGCCAAACAAAAAGCGTTAACAACTGATAGAGATTTAGAGAAATTTACAAGCGCTAATAGTTGAGGCACATTGTGTTATAATATGTATAGGAAAATATATATCTATAGGCTGCTCTTGTTTATATTAATGAAAATATTCTTTAACGCTTAAAGCTTTTCTGAGCAGCTGAAATATTCTGAACTTAGTTGAAAGTCTAAGAAAGGATATATCATCATAGGATTTTCATGGATTATATATAACCTTGAACCAATTGAAAATAGAGGCCAGATATAAGCCAGAAGGAGGCGGGATAAACCCACAGACTATATGTATTTCTGATCAGAATGCCACATCAATTTGAGCCTCAACCTCGGGATATACTGGATTCGGGAGCTATGCCCTAAAGCTGCCCAGGCAGCAGAATGGGCTGCCCAAAAAGTCTTGGGAACTTTGTTAAAGTTGAGCCGGAGTGGACAGGGCAGGGCAGGCGAGTGGGGGAACCTAAATGCTTTTGCCAGATACACGTATACAAGGAATACATATCGTATAATTCATATAAATTTGCTGAGCACCAGAGCTCTCCCCGGGGTGCATTTAACTAAACGCAGCGCTGGGCCGGCCGAGGAGAGCCTGAGCAGCCAGAGAAGCCGGAGCAGCGCTGGGCTGACTACTCGTGGCAATTATAAATGGTTGAAAATAATTTCATTAAAAATGTAAAAAGCGGCATCAAATAGAAAAGTGTATTAATAGCAGTCAAAGTCCTGGCACTGGTTCAGGTTCTGGTCCTGGCCCAGGTCCTGGTCCAGAGTTGGCGCTGGAACGAGAGTCACGCCGGCAACAGCTGCTGCAGCAGCGGCACCAACTTTAGACTATCCAATGTTGTCGTACATTTTGGAGCCGTTGTCCGCATCCGCCGTGTCCGTATCCATGTCCTTGTCCATGTCCGTGTCCAAGTCCGTGTCGGTGTTGGCTACGTGCTGCCATTAACTTTGCTTTTGCCGTGCACACCTTGTCTCCTCTCCCCCCCC